TGATGGAGGAGGAGAAGGCAGGAGGGAGACTATGGCAGAGGAAAGGAGCCTGATGTGGAGGACGAGAGAGGGAGCTATGGCGGAGGAAGGAGAGAGGGAGACTATGTGGAGGGAGGTTTACTGATGGAGAAGGATGGGGGCGAGAGGGAGACTGATGTGGAGGGAGGAGATGGTGGAGGAAGGAGAGGGCGACTATGTGGAGGGAGGAAAGACTGATGGAGGAGCAACAAGAAGAAGAGCAAGACAAAGTAGAAGAAGAAACGAAAAGAAGAACAAGAACTGAAGAGACTAAGAATAAGAGGATCGACGCAGATCGACGGCCAAGGGACAAAAAAAAAAAAGCCATGAAACAGGGCCTACCAGGCCCTGAAAAATTTTGCGGCCGCCGCATAATTTTTTTTCCCCCTTTGGGCCGTAGGCCTGCGGTGCCAATTTTTTTTTTTTGAGGTTTTTGGGGGGTGGCGCTGAGGGTGCCCGGGTGCCTGCCCGGGGGGGTCGCCCGGCCGGGCACCCCGGGCGCCCTTCCAGGCGACCTGGGGGGGCCCGGGCGGCCGGGCTGGAAAGCTAGGTGCGAACTGTTTAATCTTCATTTGCTATTTATAATTTTGTACATACTACATAATTCATATTCATAATTTCATATTGAATGCATGCAATTTTTTTTTGCTGTCTTTCATCAACCAAGTGTAATTTTCTCTACACTGATTCTACAGTGTGTACATCATCACTTTGTCAACAGTTCTAATTTCAAACCTTCAAGATGAACAAGTTCCAGAAGATCTCCATGAGTCACCTTGGTGGAAGGAGAATCTGGCCATCACAGGATTTTTCTTCCACCTGGGCCGAGGTCCCACTAGCAAAGAGGATCAGATCGAATGCCTGAATCTGGACGTGTTTTATGCCGAGATGCAGAAGCGGTTCAATCTCAATTTCCTGCACATTTCCACAACTTCCTCCAGATTCAGGCGTTCGATCCCATCCTCTTTGCTAGTGGGACCACCCCCGCTGCAGGTTACCCCCTTGAGGCTTGAACTGGGAGGGAAAAAGAAAAAGAAAAAGAAAAAGAAAAAAAAAAAAAGAAAAGAAAAAGGGACCTTGAAGATAAACAAAGTCAAGCTACCGGTAGTAGGCTACCAGCCGCGCCGGCCGGATCACGTTGTTTGCAGGGGCTGCCCGGCCGTGCAAGGACCATAGGAGGTCCCAGCAAAAAAAAAAACAGAAAAAAAATCCAAGAATTCTGAAAAGAAATTATGTTATGTAGAAAAAATTGAAAAATAAACTGAACAACTTTTGCTCCAGGGTCACATCGAGATCCTTTACCAAATTTAAAACAAAAAATAAAATTAAAAAAACGTTTTTTTTGGCCTGGGCAGTCGGAATCTGGCCTTATCGTCCAATTTCGCCATGGGTCACCCAGGGGGGGTTGGGAGGTTT